CCCCCGGAATTTCTTCATGCCCCCCCCCAGAGGGCACATCCCCCAGTTTGGGAACCCATGATCTAGATATATAGAGAGTAACACAGCAGAGCACATGTTATCCAACAAGTTCTTGGAATGTATTAGAGACCATTTTTTATTTCAGAAGGCAGGGAAAGCTACTAGAGGGGAGGCTGTTCTAGATTTGATTTTAACAAACGTGGGGAACTGGTTGAGAATTTAGAAGTGGAAGGAAGTTTGGGTGAAAGTGATCATGAAATGATGGAGTTCATGAGTCTAAGGAATGGTAGAAGGGAGAACAGCAAAATAAATACAATGGATTTCAAGAAAGCAGACTTTAGCAAATGTAGAGAATTGGTAGGTAAGGTCCCATGGGAAGCAAGACTAAGAAAAAACAATTGAAGACAGTTGGCAGCTTTTCAAAGAGACATTATTAGGGGAGCAAGAGCAAACTATTCCACTGTGTAAAAGATAGGAAATATAGCAAGAGACAATCCTGGCTTCACCAGATCTTGAATGATCTAAAAATAAAAAAGGGATCTTACAAAAATTGGAAATTAGGTCAAATTACAAAGTATGAACATAAACAACACAAGTACATAGGGGCAAAATTACAAAGGCCGAGGCACTGGTCTAAGGAATGGTAGAAGGGAGAACAGCAAAATAAATACAATGGATTTCAAGAAAGCAGACTTTAGCAAATGTAGAGAATTGGTAGGTAAGGTCCCATGGGAAGCAAGACTAAGAAAAAACAATTGAAGACAGTTGGCAGCTTTTCAAAGAGACATTATTAGGGGAGCAAGAGCAAACTATTCCACTGTGTAAAAGATAGGAAATATAGCAAGAGACAACCCTGGCTTCACCAGATCTTGAATGATCTAAAAATAAAAAAGGGATCTTACAAAAATTGGAAATTAGGTCAAATTACAAAGTATGAACATAAAGCGGCGATTTAAATAATCGCCGCTTCATTTAAATTTACATGGCTGCCGCGCTGAGCCGACAAACAGCTGATCAGCTGTTTGTCGGCTCAGCGCGGCAGCCATGTAAATTTAAATGAAGCGGCGATTATTTAAATCGCCGCTTCATTTTACTATGTCTGGTAGCCTAATCTACATGTCTCTCGCGACAGAGGCATGTAGTCTAGACGTACCCTAACTTAGGTGCCAGGAAAGATAACGGAGCAAATAATTAGAGAATTCATTTGCAAGCATCTGGAAGATAATGAGATGAAAAAACAGTCAGCATGAATTTGTAAAGAGCAAATGAACCTGTCACCTTACTTTGATAGGATAACAAACCTTATGTATAAGGAAGAAGTGGTAGATGTGGTATACTTAGACTTCAGAAAAAGATTTGTTACAGTCTTGCATGATCCTCTTATCAATAAACTAGGGAAATACAATCCAGACAGGGCTACTATAAGGTAGGCACATAACTGTTTGGATAACCATTCCCAGAGAGTACTTATCAATGGTTCACAGTCAAGCTGGAAGGGCATAACAAGTGGGGTTTCACAGGGATGGAATTTTGGGACTGTCTCTGTTCAATATCTTCATCAGTAGTTAAGATAATGGTATAGAGAGTATGCTTATAAAGTCTGGAGATGATGCAAAGATGGGAGAGGCTGCAAGTGCTTTGGAGGATAGGATTGTAATTCAAAATATTCCAGACAAACTGGAGAAATGGTCTGAAGTAAACAGGATGAAATTCAATAAGAACAAATGCAAAGTACTCAGAGCCGGTTAGACAAATGCCCGTTCTACCAGCACATTCAACCAACACTGGCTTTGTATGGAACCTCAAGTACCAAAGCCATGAATATTGGAAATCTATTCTCACTTTAAACTGTAGATGTTCATTATGTTGTCCATAGCTTAAAACAGGGGTGGGCAAAAGCCTCTCACCGGGCCAGATCTGGCCCACATAGGGCTTTGATCTGGCCTGCAAGGCAGTTCCAAGCCCCTTCCCTAGTGTGTTGCCTCAGAGTAGGAGGGGGATGCGAGCCCTTTTAAGAGCTTCTATTTAAAGGGCTGGTGCCTTCCCAGTGCCTGTCAGGCAACGTGTTGCCTAGCAGTCATGGGGAACACGAGAGCCCTTTGAATAGAAACAGCTGAAAGGACTTGCAGCTCCTGGTGCCTCAGCGCGTTGCCGGAGATGCGCAATTCCTTTCAGCTGTTTCTATATAAAGGCTCTCGTGTTCCCTACAGATGCTAGGCAACGCATCGCCTGACAGGCACAGGGAAGGCACCCTGCCTCCCCTTCCCCTCCGCTTTAAATAGAGGCACGTAAAAGGACTCGCAGCTCCCCGCACCTCTGGCGCATTGCTAGGGAGAAAGAGATGTGAGCCCTTTTAACCGCTTCTATTTAAAAGGCTCACCTGCTGGGTGGCTGCATTTCCTGGCAGTCACCCGGAAGGCGCAAGCCCTTTAAACAGAAGCAATTGAAAAGTGCTCATAGCTCTGCCCCATTGGCCCATTGACTGGGAGCTGCCCGGAGGCATGAGCCCTTTCAACTGGTTCTATTCAAAGGGCTTGTACCTACTGGGCAGCTGACAGACAACAGGTTAGCAGTGGGGGCCAGGAGCCACGAGCCCTGTTATATGAAATCTAAGCCTCCACCCCAGACAACTCTGGGAGGAGGCTAGTCCCGGCATCCTCCCCTCTGCTCCAGGTCCCTTCCATTAGCCAAAAGTCATGGAGCAGGGACCCCAGGCCAAGCAAAGCTCACGGTAGGGTAGCTCTCAACCCCGCCCCTTCCACTCAAGGTCCCACCCCTTCTGCCAGCGGCCCCGCCCCTTCCGGGTTGGTCCACGGCCACTTCTGAATTTGTGAAGTGGCCCCCCTCCCTTCAAAAATTATTGCCCACTTAAAATGAGGCTTACAATGAGGTCAAGCCTTTCTAATTTTCTACTGAGCTCCTTCTGTGATTTCTACCATGACCATTTCTCTAGGACTTAGCAATTGTTAGAACAGAAAATCTGCTAATAAACCACCACATTCCAGAGGCTCCAATTAACTGAGACGCGTGAGTGAATCATAGGCCACTGGAACCAAGAAGGGCACCAAAGAGACTGTAAACAGAGATAGTTATTATTTAAAGTTAATTGAGTGGAAAGGACAAAGGAATAATCTGAATATAAATAGAAAGCCCTCAGGATCTCCTACACTCTGTCTTGCACCCTGGGACTTCAGTCCCAGGTATTGTAAAATAGTCACAGACTGCCTGGTGTGAACAAATCTGTGTTTCCTCTTATTTCAAAGAAGAGTTGAAAAAGGGTCCTGGGTTTATGTTCTCATTTTGAATTTAAAACTGTGTCTTTTAAATCCCCATCCAAAACAACTTGCAAAGGACATGGAAATCCTTGGTTCTGTGCTTTTGGTTTGATTTGTGACCCTAGGATAAAATGCCAAAATTTTAAAAAATGAGTTTCTGAAGTTAAGCTCCTAAGTATATATTTTGGCAACCACAAATTCCAATGACTTCAGTGAGAACTTGGTCTCAGCACCTCTGAAAATTGGAAATCTTTCATGTATGTGCCAAAATATGGATTAAATATTTACTGAACAGCAAGATTTGATTACCATTACTTTTGTCCCTGTTCTTCATTTTCTCCTATTGCTCTTTATCCTCATTTATTTGTATCTGTTTTTAAATGTGATTCTATAGAAGCTAATGCAATTGGACCCATTTACTGCCTAGGTACTATGGGGATAACACAATATAAATAATAATAATGGGACTGTTAGATTAAATAGGCCAATTATTACAATGAGTAAACAGTATCAGAGGGGTAGCCGTGTTAGTCTGAATCTGCAAAAGCGACGAGGAGTCCTGTGGCACCTTATAGACTAACTGAAGTGTAGGAGCATAAGCTTTCGTGGGCAAAGACCCACTTCGTCAGATGCATGTACTGGAAATTTCCAGAGGCAGGAATAAATATGCAGGCCAGGATCAGGCTGGAGATGACGAGGTGGATCCAATCAAGGAGGATGAGGCCCACTTCTAGCAGCTGATCTGGAGGTGTGAATTCCAAGAGAGCAGAAGCTGCTTTTGTAGTTAGCGAGCCATTCACAGTCTTTGTTTAATCAATGAGTAAACAGAAATCACAGAACAAAGGAAGCAAAGTTAAGCAAACTCTGCAAATTACTGCTAGATATTGGTGTAAAGGTCAGAGCTGGGAACTATAGTTCTGTGCTTAATTTTGCTAATGACTTGCTGTGTCACTGAACAAGTCATTTCTGTACTATATTTTCCTGGCCTGTGAATAACTTAACATTACTCAAACACCTTTATCAGACTTGAGATCCACAGAAAAAAAGTGCTATTTAAGGGCCTTCTCCAAAGCCCATAGAAGTCCACAGAAATACTCCCCTTGATTTTAAGTGGCTCGGAATCAGACTCTATTTGTGGAGGAGTATTATGATGATCTAAATACTGTTTTGAAATAAACTTTGGTTGGCTTCCCATACATACAATATGTGACTTTTTTCCTTTGAAGGTAACAGCAGAATTAGATGCCTGGAATGAAGATTTGCTGAGACAGATGAATGATTTCAATACTGAGGACCTCACTCTGGCTGAGCAGCGCTTGCAGCGCCACACCGAACGGAAACTGGCTATGAACAACATGACCTTTGAGGTTATTCAGCAAGGACAAGATTTACACCAGTACATCATGGAAGTCCAGGCTTCAGGTGAGCAAGATGGTTTGCTTAATGGTTGTCCATTTACTAAAATACAAAAGGAAACAATCTGTTATAAGGTATTGGAATTTTACTTGCAATGTCCAGTTGCATGTGCTCCTAAATGGCAGACTTGAATGGCATTCTGCAGAATGGCATATTTGCGGAGAAGTTGCTTTGTGTCTTGTACCCTGCTTCTCAGCAAAAGTTTCAAGTTTCCAGTGAGTACTGTAAAATCCTGATTTTTTGTTTTCTTACCTGGGGAAAGTAATCATTCAGCTTAATCTCTGCATATGGTCCCAGAGGCTAAAATTATTTGTGAGATGCTTAAATCTTACCACATGCCTTGAAAGGTGCATAGAACAATTCTTTCACCATCTTTGAGTAAAATAAGAAGAGACTTTTCAGGATACAAATAAAACTGATTTTCTTGGTCTCATCCTAATCTGTTGTAGACATTTAACCCCAAGATACATTTTGATAATATTTAGCATAATTTGGCAAACTGGTTAACAGGAGCTCAGAAGCAACTAAGAGGGGATGTTGCAAGATAGGAAATCAGGGACATTGGGCAAACCATACGTGGAAGTTTGCACAGCATCTACTCACAGCTCTGTGCTTTTCCTATTGGTCTCTGGCTTTGTGGTTTGGTAAAACTGCCCACAGTAAATCAGCAAGATGCCACTTTTTTTTTCTTCCTGGAAATATTCCCAGAACAACATGGCATGGGTGGTACAGAATATGATCCAGAGCAGATACACACTGGAGCAGAAGACATGGGAGGTACAGGATGTGATTCAGAGCAGAGCACAGACAAGAGCCCAGTTGATTGGTATAAGGAAAAGCTCACTGTGTTTGTTAGGAACTCTTAAGCTGCAGGAGAGTAGAAACATCTGGATTCCAAACAATAGAACAGAGATTAAATTGATGAGATCTTAAAAATATTATAAATGATTACCTCAATCTCCCTGTGTGAAGTCCATGTGTATCTAAGAAAAACTAGTTGCTTCCCAAGCCAAAAAGGTAACTACTTCTTGAGGATCAAGTATAATAGGGATTAGTTGAAGGTTTTTCCTACCTGTTTTACAGGGAAAGCAGAATATTTGGAGAATGGCAAAGTATGGGACAGTACAGGCAGTCCCCGGGTTACATGGATCCAACTTACATCAGATCCCTACTTACAAACGGGGTGAGGCAACCCCGCACTAGCTGCTTCTCCCCAGCAGACCAGGGAGTCGCGAAGCTAGCGCCCCCCCCCCCCAGCAGACCAGGGAGACGCGGAGCGGCTTTTCTCAGCAGACACCTCAGCTTGAGAATAAAGGACTGAGGGAAATGAGGTGTGGGAGAATAAAACTGAGCTCTGGAGAAATGTTTGGCTAGAGTTTCCCCTACAATATGTACCAGTTCTGACTTACATACAAATTCAACTTAAGAACAAACCTACAGTCCCTATCTTGTACGTAACCCGGGGACTGCCTGTAATTGCTTTTTGGAGCCTACCGTTCCTTATTTCAATTAAGGATAATTAACTAGTAGGACAGAGACTAGGCTGGGTGCAAGGCAGGAGCAAATACAATGGTGGGTTAAGAGCTGACCTGCTTGCCCTTCTAGCCAGTCAAGGCCAGATGTACTGATGAGGCTGCCGGCTTGAGATTAGCTCTCCTGTAAGCTCTGATTCCTGTCTCCAATGCCAAGAATTGGCCCGAAGTATTACAGCTCTTAGACAACCTATATCAGCCCTGGTGTAACTCCTTTTACCACATCTTCATGTACTTCGTTTGTGTATCTTCTAGTCTCTTCAGTTCTAACTTAAGTCATTCATGACCAAAAGCTGTTACCATCTGATAGCTGAGTAATGACCTATATACTCTTATTTGGGAGTCCCAGTTGTGTTCCCAACAGACAGGTGTCAGTATTGTATATGGGTGGTGCATACACCCCTGTTCAAAGAAGCTAGTCTCTTGCCCCTTCTCTTCTGCCTGAGGTCCTTCTGTGCCCCCATTCTTGCCAGCCTGCAGGCTGGAGCAGCCTTGAATCCTGGTCAGTCCACTGACACCCAGAGCAGCCCCAAACCAACCAGCTCACTGGTGCTCAGAGCATTTCAGAGGGGCCCTGTCTGGGTTGGAGCCCTGAGCCCAGGCCACCAAGAGAAGCACTGAGTCCTGCTCCAGCTCAGTCCTGGAGCTGGACCAGAGAGTTAGTGGGCATCTGGGGAGGCTTAGCTTCCCTTACCCACAGCCCATGATAGTGTACAACCACTGTCACAGCTGGCAGTAATTAGCACCATTGTTGGCAATCAGTCAAGGAGTGACTGAGCCATCCTGGAGTCTGAACTACTTTCTTATTTCTGAGGCCTTGTCTACACTTACCTGGAGATCAATGCTCCAGAAATCACTCTTCCAGAGTTTGATTTGTGAGTCTAATAAGGACCTGCTAAATCAAACACTGATGGAGTCCTTGTTGACCCTGATACTTCATGGGATCAAGAGGAGTAAGGGAAGTCAATGGGAAAGTTACTCCCAGGCTGTGTCTAGACTGGCCAGTTTTTCCAGAAAATCAGCCGCTTTTCTGGAAAAACTTGCCAGCTGTCTACACTGGCGGCTTGAATTTCCGCAAAAGCACTGACTTCCTACTGTAAGAAATCAGTGCTTCTTGCGGACATACTATTCTGCTCCCGTTCAGGCAAAAGTCCCTTTTGCGCAAAGCTTTTACGCAAAAGGGCCAGTGTAGACAGCTCAGATTTGTTTTGCGCAAAAAAGCCCCAATCGCGAAAATGGCGATCGGGGCTTTTTTGCGGAAAAGCGCGTCTAGATTGGCACGGGCGCTTTTCTGCAAAAAGTGGTTTTGCAGAAAAGCGTCCGTGCCAATCTAGACACTCTGTTCTGAAAATGCTTTTAACGCCAGCTGTCTACGCTGGCCGCTTGAATTTCCGCAAAAGCACTGACTTCCTACTGTAAGAAATCAGTGCTTCTTGCGGACATACTATTCTGCTCCCGTTCAGGCAAAAGTCCCTTTTGCGCAAAGCTTTTACGCAAAAGGGCCAGTGTAGACAGCTCAGATTTGTTTTGCGCAAAAAAGCCCCAATCGCGAAAATGGCGATCGGGGCTTTTTTGCGGAAAAGCGCGTCTAGATTGGCACGGGCGCTTTTCTGCAAAAAGTGGTTTTGCAGAAAAGCGTCCGTGCCAATCTAGACACTCTGTTCTGAAAATGCTTTTAACGGAAAAATTTTTCGTTAAAAGCATTTCCGGAAAATCATGCCAATCTAGACACAGCCCCATTTACCTCCCACAGTGGGGCCACCTGAGAAATTCAATGTAAAGCTATGTTGACTCCAGCTATGCAATTAGTCCTACTGAAGACAATGGGAATAACTGTAGTTTAAGATGCTGTCCCCAATACTGACCATACAGCAATCTGTCTTTAAAATATCATTCTTTTTTTCTGTATGGGACAGTGTCAGTTTATCCTTGATGTTAGTCCAAGTGAAATGTGCAGTTCAACCAAGATTTAAGTTAGCCCATAAATTCCTGTTCTGTGTTGATTTACACCCTGAGCAATCCTACTAAATTCATAAATTCAGTGGGCTGATCCTTAGCTGATCTCACCAATTGAGCAGGGGTGGGGAACCTATAGCCTATGGGCTAGATACAGTCATTGCTTAATTTCATCAAGCCCATGGTAAGTATTTCTATAAAATATTGTGGCCATGTACACCTGTCTTCCATGACACCAGCTAATGATCAATCCCAGTGGAAGTGCTGAGGCTATGAAAGCCTTGGTTTAACTCTAGTTAAGCACATGCTTAGGTCCATTCCTAAAGCATTTAAACAAGAATTTAACTTGAATTAAAGTTAAGTATGTGTTTAAGTTAGTTTCCTGAGCTAGGCTGTGTTCCAGAACTGGGTTCTAAATCAGGACAGGAATAAGTCTCTCTGAGACTGGAAGAGATTTGGAAAATTAGGCTTTTTATGAAATCTTAATATAGACATGATCCAAATCCTGTTGAAGTCCATGGTAATCTTTTCATTGACTTTCTCTGTACTTTGGATCAGGCCTTATTTGAATGTGTATAATTTTAAACATTTGTAGTTATCCAAAAAGTAGAAGAAAAGATATGTAAGTAGGTACAGTGCACTAAATTATGCTCTCAATTACACCAGCATAAATCCAGAGTAAATGTAGTCACTTCTGTGATGTGTCTAAATTTATGCTGGTATACGTGAGAGCTGTGGTGTGTTTATGTTGTTTTACTTGTGACTGTTTTGAATAAATCTGCTCCACTGAATACCAGTCTGTTGAAATCCCCTTCAGTAATGAGATGATTGAAGAAAACTGAAATTACATTCCATGTATTGAATAAATGGTTGTGCTTACATATCACAAACCTCCGGGTGAGAGCGTTTGTGTGTAAAATTATTCCAAAAATACAATTTGAAAATGCATTCTATTTTATAAATCCACCTTTGAAAAGAATGAGCTTTCTCATTGCATATGCTGGCAGTGTGGCATAAATCTGTGCGACATGTGGCAAGCAAGAAAGGGCAAATCATCTATCACAGTGAGCGCGGGCTTCCATTGGATAACATCCTAGGCAGTCTACTGGTTACTGTTGATGAGTTAGCACAGTCAAAATGCCATCAGTTGAGCGTGCATGATGGAAAACTGTGAGTTTAATATCAAATAGGCATGGTGAAGTCAAGTATACAAAACACCAGCATTGTCCTAAGACATGGTATCAGGTTAATTTTAACAAATACTCATGGTGTCTGGCAGTTAGAAGGAACTTCATTCCCTAGAATGGGAGCATAAATTACATTTCCAGATCCTAAATGTGAAGCCTGGGGCCATTCCTCCGTATCTAATATATAAAGGAGAATGTTTGTATGTTTGTACTCTAATAACTTGGATACTATAAGACCTACCACAACCAAATTTTCCATGGGGTAACCTTTCCTCCAGGAGACGATTTTAAGGTACTTTTGGACCCAATCCGGCCCAATCTCAACCTGTACATATCAAAAATAACCCGCCCCACTGCGCTGCAGGGGCAACACCGCCCACCCTAGGTCATGTGCCCACCGCCTGCGGCCCCAAAGTCCGGGACTCACCCCACTCCCACACGCACAATGGCTTGGGCATCCACCCTACCCCCCTGCTGCTTTGGTTACCAAAGGTACTTTTGGACCCAATCCGGCCCAATCTCAACCTGTACATATCAAAAATAACCCGCCCCACTGCGCTGCAGGGGCAACACCGCCCACCCTAGGTCATGTGCCCACCGCCTGCGGCCCCAAAGTCCGGGACTCACCCCACTCCCACACGCACAATGGCTTGGGCATCCACCCTACCCCCCTGCTGCTTTGGTTACCA